CCTCCTCTCTTTATCATATCATGTCTAGGCTTATCCTTAGACACCCGTAACACAGTGACATTGTGCAGGGCTCTCTGACCCTTCTATGATGGGTCCTAGAGCAGTGCTCCTGGACCTCCTGTGTCTACTTTTCACATTTTCTGTGTCCTCGCCCATAAACAGACACTTCTCACTGCTGCCATCACCCACTCTCCTTTCCTATGATAATCCCATGCGTTTACAGAACAGATAATAGCTTCCTAACTGCTCCACATTAATTCACTGAATCTTCATAAAACCTTATCAACCAGGTACTGTTGTTTTCATTTTATAGTTAAAAAGCTGAGGCACAGGGATGTGAATGTGAAGTGACTTCTTAAGGACACGTTGTTAGTAAGTGGAGGAGTGGCTCAGACTCAGGCAATATGGTTCCAGAGGCTATGTTCTTAACCACACATCATACCACTTCTGAGAGCCAAGAACCACAACTAATAGACAGTGTACAAAGAGTTTATAGACTGAAGACTGGAGATCATGTCTCTTTTATTAATATTTTCTTTCAGACCAACTTCCAAAATGCAGCAATGAGGAGCTGTATGGCCAGTTGGGGTTAAGTGTCACCTTCCAAAGCAGATTATTTGAGACAATGACAAAGTACTAAATGCAGAGATATTCAAGGCAAGAAAGTCTAGTGATTGTATTTCATCCTCGGGAGGTTTCTTTTAGATAAAAATATGGCTTGATAAAAAGAATGGATAGATTCTTCTTCCCAAATAGAATGATGTAAATGGTGATTCTTAAAATTTTTTGATTAATAGGTCCCACTGAGAATCTGATGAATACAGATTCCCTTTCCAGGAAAATGCATGTTTAACTTTTTTTTAAAGAGATGAGGTCTTACTCTGATGCCTAGGCCAGAGTAGCAGTCGCACTATCATGGCTCACTGCAGCCTTGAACTCCTGGGCCCAAGCGATCACTCTGCCTCAGTCTCAACAGTAGCTGGGACTACAGGCAAGTACATGCCTGGCGAATTAAAAAGGTTTTTTTTTTTTTTTTTTTTTTTTTAAAGAGACAGGTCTTGGTATATGGTAAGTGCTGGTCTTGAATTCCTGGCCTCAAGCAATCCTCCTACCTTTGCCTCCCAAAGTGACGTTTTAACTTTTTATGTACAACTGTAAAAGATTCCAAGATCCATTCTTGAATATAAAATTTAGAGATTCTTGGCCGGGCACGGTGGCTCACGCCTGTAATCCCAGCACTTTGGGAGGCCGAGGTGGGCGGATTACCTGAGGTCAGGAGTTTTAGACCAGCCTGGCCAACATGGTGAAACCCCGTCTCTACCAAAAATACAAAAATTAGCTGGGCATGGTGGCACATGCCTGTAATCCCAGCTACTTGAGAAGCTGAGGCAAGAGAAATGCTGGAGCCTGGGAGATGGAGGTTGCAGTGAGCTGAGATCATGCCACTGCACTCTAGCCTGGCCGACAGAGTGAGTCTCTGTCTAAAAAAAAAAAAAAAAAAAAAAAAAAAATTACAGATTCTTTATAGACAAGCAGTGGAAAATTAGAGTCAGTACTTTAAATCCTGATTCTTCTACTGACATGCTGTGTGATTTTAGGCAAGCCACTATCCTCTAAGCCCCTTGTGCAAAAACGGAATCAACATCTTTGCCCTGCTTGTGTCATAGCAGTAGACTATTATGAGTGTGAAAGGTGCGGACAATTGCAAAGTGCTATCAGAATGTTGTAAGGATGCTGAGTTTCAGAGGTTACTTACCTTAAGGTCACACAGCTACTAAGTGGCAGAAGAGAGGTTCGACTTGGAAGACACTGAAGTCTCTGGAATGTGTGTGTATGTGGTTGTGGTTATATGTATGTGAAGATCTCTCTTCCTCTAAGAATTTTAAAAAGGATCAAGAGAGAAAATACAGGTGAAAGGGTTACACAGACTATAATGTGCAATGCCTATATGAGTTACTCCTGGACTGAACTAAAGACTCCAAGTCTCATCCACTTGTGGGGACGCAGGACTGGGTGGCTAAGGGATTGAGAAGGATGGGTAGAAATGTGTCAATCAGTGATGCTGTTGTGGAGAGAATTAAGACCCTCTCCCACATCCAAATGAAAAAGTCTATATTTTGGGGGAAATTTGCCAGAGCTCTCCAACCTCTTAAAAACCTATTCCATTGACCAGCACCCTTAGATGTTGGTATGTGATTAATATGTTTCTAATGTCAGCAACAAGTAAAATCTATAAAAGCCTAACTCTTATTCTCTTATGTTAAAAAGACAGATTCCATAAAAGATGCTCTCATTCAACTTTGATTCTGGATGCTTACAATCCAGAGACGAACATCTTTGTGTGCTATAAAACTAGTAGTGCCAGAGAATGGCAACATCCCAAACCGGAAACCTCCAAAAAAAACCCCTGCACCTTCTTAAAGGCAATGAGAAATCGGCAACACTTCCTTTAACTTTCAAACTAATGCTGCAACTGCACATTCAGCAGTCCAAGAACACAAGGGAGTAAACTGGAATAGGGGATGACAAAGAGTCCTGGAGCTTCACTGTCAACAGCTGGGCATAAGAATGCCGAGCAAATATTCAGATTGACTCTGGGCCTGGAGGCTGGGATGTAAAGCCCAAGGAAGCCTAATGGTAGGAGGAAGAACTGCAGAGGACACTGTGATAGGAAGTCATTTTAATGCTGTGCTTGTATGAAAAAGTATACAATTGCTTTGGCCTTTTGTCTGAAGCTTAGTAGACCATCATGTCTTTTTTTTTTTTTTTTTTTGAGACAGAGTCTCGCTTTGTTGCCCAGGCCGGAGGGCAGTGGTGTGATCTCAGCTCACTGCAAGCTCCGCCTCCTGGGTTCACGCCATTCTCCTGCCTCAGCCTCCTGAATAGTTGGGATGACAGGCACCTGCCACCACGCCCGGCTAATTTTTTGTATTTTTAGTAGAGACAGGGTTTCATCGTGTTAGCCAGGATGCTCTCCATCTCCTGACCTCGTGATCCACCCGCCTCGGCCTCCCAAAGTGCTGGGATTAGAGGTGTGAGCCACTGCGCCCGGCTCATCATGTCTTGAGTGAACAGTGACAATTAGCTGAGGCCTTTCCCAGTTATGAGGCCTAGAGTATAGGAAATCATGGGGCTGAGTAGGCCAGACTGAGAAGAACTTTCCAAGGCAGGTTGAAAAAGATTGTGTCAACTTCACACACATTCAAGTAGCATTTAATAACTTTTATGAAATTGGCTTTAGAGTAAAGTCTATATTGTTGTAATACAGAAGTGAAGGTGAATGAGAGAGAGCAATATAACGAAGAAACCCAAGTCAGATGGAACAGGTTAAATATGAAGGTGAATTCAGAGTACCTTCCCTCAAACCCCAACCATACCCCTGCTGCTGTTCCTGAGTATGACCTGAGTTCAGGGCTGCAGTTTCTTCACAGCAGCTACAGAACAAGGTCTACCTAGAAAAAAAAGAGGTGGTGCCCTGGTGCATCTGCAGCACTGGAAATGACTATCTTGTAGAGCCATTAGATTAGGAAGATAGGAATAGCGCTGGAGAGAAGTGTTCTGTTTGAACTCCCCTGAACGATCTCCCTTCCTTTCAGCCTCCCTAGAGAGAGCCCTGGTGCCAGAGAAAGGCCACACCTAGGCAGATGTAGCACTAGTCTGTGCTAGATAGTAATCTGGAGAGGTCTCTGGTTAGAGCATCAGAGAAGACACAAGGTGTAATTTTCCTGGCCAGCATTCACTTCTGGGCAGAAGGAGAATGAGCAGGCATATCTCCAGCTTTGGTTAGAGTCTTCTGAGAACCCTTTGGCTGAGACTGGGGGAAGAAACCCAGCACTTGAACTCTTTTTTGGACAAGTACAAAATGTCAAAATCAGGATCCCAACCCCTAGGATAAAAACCACAGGTGACACAAAAACAGATATGGAGAAATATTTCAAGACTAAAAATAAATCATTGGCTGTGAACGTATAAACGGTGTTCCCATGATCTAAACCCCAAACCCCAAATCTGTAGATTAAGAAAAATCCACACTTACTAAATCAAATAAAAAATTATTATATGCAGGTTTCAGGCAACACATGTCTTCTGAGTTGAGCCCCCAAGTTGGCTCTCTTCAACATATGAAGTCTGATTTTTCAGCCACAGAATGAGATCCCTTTCATTTGAGTCCAATATGAAATACCAAAACATTAAAAGAATAAAACAGTAGAGCAAGTTCCTTATTACAGGAGAGTCCATGGGGCTGCTGATCAGATTTTGTTGATAGACAAGGTGCTTAAACACCAAGTGACAAGGTCCAAATGTGTGAGGGAGTAGAGAGAGAGAAAGCAAGAGAGAATTCTGTTCAGTTTACACTGATGGACTAGCAACTTGGGAGCTGGTATCTGTGAGGTTCTAATTGCCCAAATGCAAACCTAACAGTAGCCTCTTGCCACTGGGCCAGATACTGAAGTTCTGGTACTGGCCTCTCTGCACATGATCTCAGCGTTCACACTGTATGCTTGAACAGTTTCCCTGTGCTGCAGTGGAACAGCAAATACCTCCTAGGTAGAACCTGGAGACCCAAGGCAGCAGCAGTAAATAAGTATCTTGCATATATGTCAAATTCAGTCCTCAAACAAAACCTTACATCTTAGTAAAGCCTTCAGAAAGTACTAACAAAAATGGTATACCTTTTTTCCTACGTTTAATCTCCATGCCGACAATGTCTCAGTTGACTTTTTTCCCTCTGCCCCTTAAAATTAGGTGACGAAGTAGAAATTCAGTCATGAAAATAAAAAGACATATATCAAATATACAGCATCCTGGTGTCACAGAACAGACAGAACTGTCCTAGACACTGGGGAAAAGATGGGCACTGGAGAGGTAAAAATGCTATTTAGTGACCACTCCCACTTGCACAATGTATTCATCACTGAAGGAGGGTGAAGTGCAGGGGTAGGGGAGGGTGGCAGAGTTGTAATTTTCTGTAATGAGGGTTGGGAATATATACTCATGGATGGGAAATCTTAAGTAGCTATATTTATTATTACTTTTTCCAGCAATTTTGCAAGAGGCAGAAGTGTGACATTGAATTGAGTGAGACGAGCGTGTGGGTGGGTTGGCGAGGAGCCCTTCTCCTGACGCAGGCTGCTGGCTTGTCAAGGAATGGCTGGTTCCACCGCTGGGCCGTGTTTACTCTTTTGCTTCAAGGAAAAGGGTTTCTTGAGGGAACAACTTTACCTCCAATAATGATTTATTTGGGTCCAGTTGAGTTACCTAAAAAGACAAAGAACACATATTCAAGAGACTGAAACAAGCACTATAACCTCTACACGGCATTCATTTTATCTATGCACACTGATTCTGAAACTATGCACTGGCATGAAGAGTCTCGCAGTATCTTAGTTGATCTTCAAAATAACCTGCAAGGAAGCTGTTGTTATTCTCATTTTATAAGTGAGGAAACCAGGGCTCAGGAAAATCAAATCTCGTAGTTGAGTTTGGTGGAGGTACCTTGCCTCCTGCACAGCTCAACCTGGCTGGCAGAACAGGGGCCCTTTGGAAAGGTGCTGGTTAACAACTGACTGGCATTCCTAGGGACCTCTGCTTGGTTAACCCCTAATAGAGGGGAGGGATTTTTCTGCTTGGTGGGACTGCAGCTAAGCCTTTGGGGCTGATCTTCCTATTAGAACTACGTTATAAAGTGTAGAATGGCCATTCCACCATGCCCAACGATGACTATCTTCCCTGGTGAGGGGAGGCATATCATATCCTTGTTGACGGTTTATTTAGTTTGGAAAAAAAAGAGTCAATATCATAATACAACTTTATATTTTCAAAATTAAAAAAATCATAATTTTGTAATATGAACTATTGAAAGTCAAGCTAGACAAAATCTTGGCTCAGCGGGATACGTTAATCATACAGGGATCCTAAATTAGGTTTATGCCTTCCTAGGCAAGGGGCAGGGATGGGACACGAAGGTTTTCTGAATTTGCGACTGAGAGAAGAAACAAAACTTTCCTGTTTATCAAAAGAGGTCAGGAATGTTTAAAAGTTGAGTAATACTGGTTTAGTGGAAAGGACACAGGTTTTGGAATTAGAAAGACTCTAAATTACAGCTGTGTTGGCTATCAGCTTTGTGGCTTTGAAGTTAGTATCAACCTTGCAGGACTGACTGTGAGAATTAAATGAGAAAAAATATATAATTAGCAAAGTGTCTTGCCCAGAACAGGTGTTCCATAATGATTGTGTGTGTGAGAGCAACTGTAAAGATGGCGGACACACAGATAAATGGGCAACTGCAAGTGTGTGATGGGAGGGCAAGCAATCTCTAGTCAGGCCTGAGGCTGCTGCTCTGGGCCTGACTGCAGCACCTGAGGCAGGCGATCTTATCTTCTGCTTAACTCAAGCTGCTCCTGATAAGATGGTTCTGGTGTCTTCTTCCATGGTGGGGTGGGGGATATGGGGAAGGGGAAGCCCTGGGGGCCAATGCCAAGTATCAAAGCCATGCTGGCAAGGGGAAGGGGAAACTATCTTCAGCTGTATCTAGATGGAAACCTGGTATGCTCAGGAGCGTCATGAAAAAGACACATCCACCCCTGGAATCCTCTCTGCTTGTAAGGAACTCAGAGCAAAGCACACTGTATTTGTATCTCTTGGGTTGTGGGCAGATGGACAGGCAAAGAGTGGGAAGGGCCTAGCCTGCTGTCTATCTTCCAATGCACTGAGGGGCAAGCTGCTGGCAAATGTTTACCCACTTCCCCAATTAACGTACAACACTGCATTGGCTTCTGTCAACAAACAGAGCTACACTGCCTCTGCTTCTCACTCGTTGGCATTTTCTGTCCAGCTGCTTCTGATATTGTTCTTAATTAACATGCCAGAGCTCTTCCAGCATCTTCTACTTTGTTATTTATGGCTTGTAAATATGGTGTTTGCTGGGAGAAACGATCATTGTAATAGTGTGCTAGGAAGCAAAAGAGGGTGGAAGGCTGAAGTATCAGGCCTGAGTTGTACCATGCTGGGGTTGTCATATGCAAGATTAGAGATTCATAAACCACACCCAGTTTTCATATGAGAAAGTTGTGTCCAAGAAAAGTTAAATGGCTTTCTTCGGTCACTTTGAGTGGGAGAGCTGGAATTTGAGAAGGAGGCAACTAAAATTTCTTGAATGCCTACTATATGCCAGACAACATATCCATACAACAACCATGAAAGACAGTGGAGATGATTACATTGAAGCTCAAAGTGGTTACCACTTGTTTAGAGCCATATAGTTAATAAGTGTTTATACAGCACAATGGTTAAAAAGAGTGAAGCAAACCTAGAGTCAAATCCTAGCTCTGTCACTTCTTACCAATATGACCTTGAATAAATTATATAACCTGAGAGCCAGTTTTCTCACCTGCAAAATGGGAATCATAGTTTCTTCTTCCTAGGTTGTTGTGATGATAGTTAAATGCAATAATGTTGGTGCAGCCTCTGGTACAGTGTCTGAGCCAGTGAGTACTCAGTAGGTTGCAGCCATTACTGACTGGGTAGGGGCCCTGATCTTTCTAACTTCAAAGCTGCAGCTCTTTCACCAAAAGCTCCTGGAACCCTGATCTACACCAGGCTATCTTTCTTGTTTCTTCCCCACTTCCCAGCAAGAGTGCCCCCCTTTTCCTGATCAGGTAATGCCTCCATCTCTGGAGACCCCTGTCTACAGGTTCGGTGAGGCTATGTCACCACTGGACTGCTCGAAGCAAATACGGCTGTGCTGACTGCTCCCTCTGGTGCCCTAAAAATAACATCTAGCAATGTTTTTTCTTTGAAGGCCATTTTAGGTAAGAATTTCAAAGTGAGCAAGATAATCTCTATTTCCATTCTCATTTGCCTGGCTGGACAAACTGATTGAGGGAAACCTAGGGGAATGTAGGACATCATGTTTCTCCCCAGCAAGACGGTGGCCACACTGTGAAACTGTCCTGCAGCGCTCTGGGCCCTGTTCAAAAAGGACATGGAGCATGCCAGGAGGGACCTCCTGCTTAGGGAAGAGCCTAAAAACTATGTTCTCTGAGAGACAGCTAAAGAATGGAAGATATCTCCCTGGAGAGCGGGCACTGAGAAGTGGAGGTGGCGATGTTGCTATACAGGTAGGGAAGGGGCTGTGCTAGCCCTCTTTGAATATCTGAAGGGCTGATAAGTAGAAGATAGAGCAGATGTGTTCTGTGCAGCTCTGGTGGATAGACTTAGGGCTGGTGAAATAAAATCACAGGGAAGCAGAACCCAGCTAGTCAGAAACAACTTTTTACAGACAGATAGCAGCTGCTGGTGTGGCTACTACTGCTTCTCTTATCTTTCCCTCTCCTCTCTCTATTCTTTATTTTCTTGTTCTTCAGTCATCATCACAGCAGCAACTATCATTTACTGAGTGCCTAGTATGTAGCTGGGAACCATGCTAAGTACTTTATGTACTTTTTATATAGTATCTTAACTAGTCCTCACAACAGTTCGGTGAAATAGGTATGATTCTTTCCATTTTACGGATGAAGATACCATAGGTTATCTTGCCCAAGGCTGCAGACAGAATAAGGTTTCACACTCAGGTCTGACTCTAAAGCTGGTATGAATGATTCTGACTAACATGTCAACAGGCTGCCCTGGGGAAATGGAGGGTAGGGAGGGTGGGATGGATGGATGAATTCTCTGCTGTTCCCAGAAGCACTCAAATAGGGGCTTACTTGCAGATGATGATTATAATAGTTATTGTTTATTGAGCATTTACTTTGTGCCAGGTATATTCCAAGCACTTTAATATAAAAGGTAGGTTATTTGAGTTAGGGACAATTATTTTAATTGTATTTCAGTAGTTTTTGGGAAACAGGTGGTTCTTGGTTACATGGGTAGGTTCTTTAGTGGTTATTTCTAAGACTTTGGTGCACCCATCACCCAGGCACTGTACATTGTACCCAATGTGTAGTGTTTTATCCCTCATCCCTTGCAACCTTCCCTCTGAGTCCCCAAAGTCCATTATATCACTTTTATGCCTTTGCATTGAGGTAAGGACAATTATTATCCCCATTAAGCCAAAAGCCAATGGAGAAACTAAGCCCTGGAAAGATTAAGTAACTTGCCCAAGGTCTCAGAGCTATTAAGGGCAGAGCCAGGCTGTGAATCAAGGCAGTCTAGATTTGGAACCCACTACATTATATTGTCAGAGGTATTGCTGAGAGTAGGATTCACATAGAGAAAGAAGTTGGATGAGATGATCCTGAAGTTGTTTCTAACCAAGCTTCCGGGATATAAGATCTTCACTTTAAAAATGGCAACAGGTCAAGGTTCAGGAAAAAAAGTCCTGAAATATTTATAAAATATGAATACAAAAACCCAATCTGAGCTTGTGTTGTGCCATTTACTTGGGACTTTACTGAATTATTGACTCTCTAAATCAACAAAGCCCACCTTTTGGGACTCCTTGGGGGAGAAGGGTCATTCTCAGATAAGAGGTATGGTTTTTGACTTTGTCTATAGTTAGAAAAGAAAAGTCAGTCATCTTGACATTTTCTTCACTGTACTTGGAAAACCTGAATGGATATATTTTCTCATTAGTTTAATAATTTAGCAAATTGGCTTTGTGAAACACGTTTATGTAACAACAATGAGACAGGTGTTCTTTGCCAAACAGAGCTATTCCTTTCTAGATCAATTTTGTTAGTAGACTGAAATTTCATATACTGTTTCTATTACTTCCCTGGGCTTCGGTTCCTTTTCTAAAAAGCCTATCAGCTGTAAGAAAAATGTGAATCCGTGTGACAGATTCTCATCCTAGGCCACACTGCGAATCCTGGAATGTTTGGGGGCAGAGGGAAGCTCCTTAAATGCCAAATTACCTAACCCCTTCATTTCATAGAAGGGCAATCTGAGGCTTAGAGAGGTCAAGTGACTTAGCCGAGGTCACACGGTTGAATAGGAGCAGATGCACACTCTACCCGCAGAGTTTGTGACTTCTGTTTTGGGGTTCTTTCTAGTCACATCATTCTGCCTCTCACTTTTTAGCACCTGAGCATAAATATAATACTACAGGATGAGTATCACTAATGAAAAAATTCAAAATATTTCAAAATCCAAAACTTTTTGAGTGCTGACATGATGCTCAAAACAAATGCTCCTTGGAGCATTTCAGATTTTGGATGTTCTGATTTGGGATGCTCAACCAGTAGGTAAATGTTACAAACTCTGAAAAAATCCAAAATCCAAAACATTTCTGGTCTCATGTACTTCAGATAAGGGAT